AGTAGATTTGGTGTGTGTATGTATGTGTGTGTGTGTGTGTCTGTGCATGTCTTTATATGTACGCCTACTTAATAATAATAATAGAGGTTACAGATTTGAAAGGGAATGGAGACAGGAGAAGAGTTAGAGGGGGAAAAAGAAGGGTCCATGGAAAGGATGTAAATACAGCATCTATATATAAAATTCTCAAAACTCAGAAAAATTTAAAAAGAACCTCTTGCAAACTAAAGCATTTATTTATACATAAATTTCTCTAGCTCCCTGCATATTTTGAGCCCCACCCTTGAACTTGAGTCAGTACTGTAGGAGAGAAACAAGACCCTCATTTCCCTTTTCCCCACCCCCTTCGTTCTTTCCTTCTGCCAATAAAGGTCAGGGACAGGTAAGCACAGTCACCAGTCTGCAATCTCTACGTCCGCAGGGAGTTTAGAGATGACTTTTGGGAGAACAGATTAGACTTGTTGGAAAGGTTAGATAAATAGTGAAGAGTCCCATCTCAGAAGGTGGCCCAGTACAGGGAAGCTCAAAGAATGTCTCCTTAGAGCTAGCTCTGTGAACGAGCAGCAAACGAGCTTCAGCTACACTCTTCTGGGGACTGCTGAAGTAGTCAGTACTTCGGAATCCTGACGAGGCAGAAGCTTGGTATGAATCTCCCTTGAGGAAGAACAGAAAGTTGTGTGGGGTATCAGCGTGTGTGCTTTAGGGCTTGGTACCAAGTGCCGTTTGCTCTTCGCAGGATAAATCTCCCAGGCCCTTTTGCAGAACTCAATCTGTCTGTGAATTTCTCTGGACGCCATTCCTGAAAGCACCATCTGCTGGTGATTGTCCTGCCATCTGACCATTTACCCTTTGTCAACTGCCCTAGTCGGGGCAATGTCACTTCCAGTTGGAGTCTACCCATTGTCCAATTTGGAAAAACTGAGTCTGAAGAGTGACAAAGCAGAGGAAGGGGGGAGGGGAACACTGTCACGCACAGGTATCTGAGGCCAAGATGTGCTGTGGGAAGACCGCGAGTCTTTGCTCAGAACCTGCGGAGGGAGCATGTGGCCAAGTCAGAGCCATATTGTGTCCCAGGCAGCCTGATGGCTCCACAAATAATATTGATGCCTTTTGTTTGGAAACTTTTATGGCGGCTTCCCACTTTCCAACAAGCCGTGGTAAACGCTGGGCCTCCCCCAAACCATTTTGCCTTTTGCATGGTTCTGGGCCAACTGTGCAGGCAGATGAGGCCCCTCAATGCTAATGAGGGGAAGGGCTGGCGTTCCTGAGGCACCCAGCTCTGGGAAGCCGGCCTTTGTTGCTAAGGAGCATTGGAACTGTAGCTGAAAAGCTCATAAAGACGGGGGTAAAGAGAGGGAGAGAAGAAAGCATGCACTTGTTGCCAGAGTTTCACAGTTCTCTAGACAGAACCAAAGCTGTCCATTTTCTGATTCCAATTAGAATATCACCCCTCCTTACTGTTGCTTTTAATGATCATTGGAATTCCTCAGAAGAGTCAGAGAGCACTTAGCAAACTCTGGACTGTACTATTGCTTCTGTTGTGCTTTTGCTTCTGTGAACATCCCACCCCCCGGTGACTGGAGTATGTTCTTTGTTTCTGGTTCAGAGGGGTGATGGAGCTGGGGGAAAGCAGGTGGGGTTTGCTTAGGGTCATGTGTGAGCTTCATTCGCTAGGTTGTTTACCAGTGGCCCACTCAGTGACAGATCTGGGCTTGGTGTTGGTGACAAGGATGAAGAGGCTCTGCTCCAGCTTGGATTTGCTGCCAGGCTTGCTGGAGACTCAGGTCATTCATTCTGGAGTGTTCTGCAAGTTGTTTGCTGCCACTGTGGTCCACACGGCTTTGGTGGACATGGAGTTTGCACAACAGTTCTCCTCCTGTCCTGACTCGTTCCCTCTCACTAGGGCTATTAGAACTAGGTGACTATAGTAATACCTTGAGCCTCAGTTTCTCAACTGTGGGATGGACATAGTAATACCAACCTCTTTTAGGTATTGAGAAGAGCAATCACGGGCAGGAGAGTAATGTAAAATATAGTTTCTGCTGACCAGAAAGGACCCCTGTGAATGAGCTAACTGCTAATTAATTTCAATATCTGGAAAAGACTAATGATTATGCCCATTGCTTGAAGATAAAGGGAAATACTGTATAAAAATAAAACACACTCTTTCTTCCTCTGTGGTACTTCTCTGAGGTGTGGAAGATATAGTGCTAAGCTATTGATGCAGTACCTCATTTAATATGAATGAAATGCCATTGTTCTGTTACGTAATGAATTGCTCAAGGCTATATGATATGAGAGAGTCCACCCTTGGAGGGACAATGCCTTTGTCTTCTCCAGTCTTTATCTTTAAAGCTTTCAGTGCTTGGAAAATAAGAATACACACACACACACACACACACACACACCACTGGATTGTCTCTACGAAGCTTATTACACACCATCACTCGCTGCAGGAAGCTTGTCAATCAACAGACATCAGGCTTTACTTCTCCATGTTTATTAGAATTCCACAATGACACGCAGGGAGTATACAACATGCTATCTGAGAAAAATACAAAACCACAGAGGCCACAATGACATTCTTAAGCATAATGACATCATATTGATGTCCATTTTGGCTTCAAAGCAGACGTCATATCACCTCTACTAATCTACTGTGACCTTGATAAATATGCTTCTCTTTGAAGTTAAATTTTGTTTCCTTAATTTTTAATTAGGTAAAGTAATGAGTATACACATATAACACATACATACCCAGACAGACAGACAGACACACACACACACACACACATACACACACACACACAAAACATTCTCTTCTTGCCATAACTCTAACAATCCTATGGTTATGTGGCCTGACTTTTATTGGAATCATATCAGGTAGCTTTAGTTATAATCTACATTCCCATCTCTGATGCCTCTTTTTAATTTTCCACATATTCTTCCCCCTGCATTTTTGATCATTAGCAGTAAGTTCCCATTTCCCCTTGCCATATTGGAGTTGAACCCATTACCTCTTCTCTAGGGCAAAACTCCCTTGCAGTAGTCCCTATGCCACTTTGACAGTTCTAAGTAAAGCCAGTCTTACTGTTCTTTTAAAAATAATACACTCTAGCCAGGCAGTGGTGGCGCACACCTTTAATCCCAGCACTCAGGAGGCAGATGCAGGCAGATCTCTGTGACTTCAAGGCCAGCCTGGTCTACAAGAGCTAGTTCTAGGACAGGCTCCAAGGCTACAGAGAAACCCTGTCTTGAATATATATATTCTCTATTAATTCTTAGAGAATTTCATACAACATATTTTGACCATTTTTACCCCTATTTCTTCCTGTAACCATTTACAGATTTACCCTCTCCCCCTCCTCCCACACTACTTCATGTCTCTATTTGTTTTAAAACAACACACAAACACAAACACACACACACACACACACACACACACATGACTTGGGGATAAAGCAGTGAAGAACACTAGACAGGAGGTGATTCAAAAGCAATTGTTATTTGGTACTAGAAGAACAAAATGCATATCAAAGTTTGTTTTAGTATGGTAATGGCCTGACTCCCCTCTGTTACACAACACAGACCATTTGTTCAATTTTTTTGAGATTTCCTGAGAGTTCATGTTTCCTATATGCAAAGAGCTGTAAAAAATGGCATTGTTTCCAGTGTTTATCACACTCTTACAAGGAGGTCCAATTACTTCCTTCTTGTAGATGAAGAAACTGAAGTTCGGAGAGATCAAGTCACTGCCAAATCTACTGTGTATTGAATGGCTTTTTTGCTGTATTTAGAGCCTGCTCCTCTTCTATTCTTGGTGTAGTCTGGATGGTGAGGGTGGAAACTGAGTTATGAGCTAGCCATGGTTTCTCCCCATAAAGAAGCATCCATCCAGGTAATACTGTCGGAGTTGGTTACATTCCACCTGTAGGCACACAATTCTGGGAACACCTGTTACACTGCAGTCTATGGAAAATGAGCCCCATCCATGTACATCAGTGTTTACTAAGGCAACAGAATAAGAACTCTGCTGGATGGGGATAGAAAATTCTGAACAACAGCAAAACTTGTGCTGTTGGCAATTATGATTAAGTTTATTAATCTAATCTCAAATCAGATATGGGGGTCCCTCTACCCTAGCTGCCTTTCCTGCGCTCCTGCCCAGAGATAAAAGGTCTACCAGGATCCAGAGCTCCCCATGGAAGTCACCTCTATCTGGCAAGTGATTAGCACAGCCTGGCGCTTTCTTACGTTTTACTTTTCTAAGCATATTTGCTTAACTGTGAAATGGACCTCTGAGACATCTTATTTGAAATATCAAAGTTGGGGGAATGAAGTGTCAACTTCCTGGTACTTAGCAGTTTTCTGGAACCATTAGACCTAAATCTCTCATTTTCTTCACTTGGCAAGTAGGCATAGTGAGAAAGTTATTCCTGTCTTTATTCTCTTGATTTGTAAGGCAGGTCTAGGAGTTCCAGAAGTTGAGATGGTAAAGAGTTTATTTTACTGGATCTAGGTCCTTTGGTTATTGAAAGTTTGTTCATGTGATATTATCATGAGACACCTCACTAGAAAATGGACAATATGGCATGCTCAGAGGTCATTTTGTTCGATGGTTTCCTGACATGGTCTAACTTATTCATCTTATCTCCCATACCATTCAAGGTTAGCAACCAAATCAGTTTGCATTGGTGATGGTCCTGGGGATGTCTTATCTCGGAAGTCTTCATTGAACCTATGGCTATCTCTGTTGTGCTTAGGAAAGGAAAATCCGGAGAGCATATTCAAGATAGAACTCTGGAGTTGGTGGAAACTCTACCAGGTTTTCCTGCCCTGAGAGAGCAGAACATGTCCCAAAGTCTAAGTCCAGGCATTCTTCCTTAATACTTCTCTCAAGGATTCTGGGAAATATCCCTGGAGACACTGGTCCCATGTCCTGGAAAAGATTCTGGACTTATATAGAAAACTCTAACTTAAAATTATTGTCCTGATTACTATTCAGTGTCAATACTTTTATTTTTCTTGTAGTGGAAATCCTTCCTAACAAACAAAAGCAGTTTGTTAGCAATGTAGAAAAAAAGCATCAAACACATTGACAATAAGCTCTGTAAGAACAGAAGAGCAAGGTAAGTGATTGGACTCTTGTTAGATCAGAAGAGAAAACTAGATTTCTCTGATCATTGTGAATAGCTCCTCCTGATAGCCAAATTCAAGGCAAAAGTAGATAGAACAACGATATCTGTCTCAGCTCAGACAAAGCCTCTATCCCAGCCTGCAGACTGAGGAAAGGCACAAGTCCAGGTAAAGGGGAGATGAAAGAAACATCAGTTCTCAGAGTGCATGCTTGTTCTTACAGCTCTTTTAGGTACCGCAGTGCTGGCTCCAAGCTTACATTTTCCCCAGAACGGAATCTCCGCAAGGCCTGGTCAATTCTCAGAGGACTCAGGGACAAGTTGTAAATGAGATTGTAGTTGTGGATGAGGCGTCTGACTCTTTCCTTTTCCAGAACTCCTGTGATGACATTGGTAGATTATTTTTTTTTAATGAGGAAGGAAGAATCAAGGAAAGAGATATGTTAGCTTGATTGAGTTGTAGGTAGATGCTAAACACTAATGTATCAAGACTCTAAGATTCTTTAAATTGGCTTAAGATATTTAGAGTCTTGGATATGACTTTTAGATTTTAGGGAGTGTGACTTTGGGGTAGAACAAAGCAAATGGGTCCAGTAACACCACACATGTGTTCTAAAGAATTTAAGCTCATTCTTTAAATCCATACATTTAAGGACAAATTTTCACAGAAGTGGGGTGCCTGTTAAAAGTGTTCATAAATATTATGTTTTATTTTTCATATCCAAGTACCTGTGGATGTTCTGAAACATGTAGGCATTAAAGTGCTCCTTCTTGACACACATTTCCTGTGACTCTCTCCCACTAACCTGTGTGATAGAACTCAATGATGACAATGTTAGCATGGTTTCTGCATGAAGGTTGGGTGACAGCCACAGATAGGACTGTAAGTGCAGGCCACAGTATTACTGATGATCATGAACTGATTCATAAGCCCGAAATGGAAGCTTAGATATGTTGGTTGCTGCACTTAAGATACAGGGAAATAAGTCTCCAAACCATTAGGAAGATAAGCTATGTAAAAAGATTAACTGAAGTGGAACAATAAATACAACAATGACTATTTTCCCACAAAATAGCCCATGTCTCAGACTCCATTTCAAGTATTTTACAAAATTGATTTATTTGACCTTAACCATGACCCATTTCATAAAAGGAGAAACTGAGTTTCTCTAGGAGAAACAACTCCTAGAGTTGTTCAATCATTTGCTTAAGGGTGCCCAAAGTAAGCTACTGTATCACATGAAATTAAGGTATAATATTCGACATGGGTCATATGATTTACTTCTTGTGTTCTTTGAACTATGAACTCTATCCCATAAAGTTCACACCACCACCACAAAACAAAAGTTTTCCAATATCTTTAAGGATTAAAGATGTACTCCTCATGTCCTGGTCAGTTTTAACTTTCAACTTGACTAACCTAGGATCACCTTGGAAGAGTCTTAGTTAGGAATTATCTAAATCAAGTTAGCACACAGTCATGCCTTTAGGATTTTCTGAGTTGTTAATTGAAGTAGGAAGGTCCACCTCACTGTGGGTGGCACCGTCTGTGGGCAGGTGGTTCTGAACAGTGTTAATGGTGGGGAACATTGACTGATAGAGTCTGGGCTTGAATCTATATCTCTGGATTAAAAATAAGCAACACCTCATTCCCCCATTCTTCTTATAGTAAGTCTTGAGAACTAGCTGTAGTGGGACATTGAGAAGACCTAGGTTTGAATTATGAATTAGATTCCTACTGGCCATTGCGTTATCACTTTGAGCCTGAGTTCTTCCTCTGGAAAGAAGGGCACTGACTGTTCAGCTTCTGGCCAATTTGAAAATTTAGAGATGAAAAGCATAAAATATCCCAGCCTAGGGAAAGAATGTCTTTTACAGCATTCTGCCTCTTTGACTTTATATTTTCTATTTGGCCTTTGGTTCGCTAAGTGAATTCTTAGTATACCATTTGCTCTTTCTTTAGAATACTTGTCATTCCTTGTTTCTTCTCTTCAAGGCTATTTTCTTCACAACCCCCATTAGAGAATAAGCTCGCTAGGTTCCCAGAAACACTGATTTGATGATGGATGGCCTGCCTGGATGCTGGATAGGGAATGCGCTGCCCTACTTAGCTCCTTGCACATAATAAAGAACAGTGAGTCATCTGTGGGCAGAGCAGGTGTTGTCAGCTCCGCATCCATAAAGGCCTCCATGGTCTGTGAAATACTGTGGCTAATGAACCAACAGCGTGACCTTAGTTAATCCGCTTTCCCATTAAAAGACAGTAGTAGATGTTCCCAGACCTGACTGATACATTCTTTGGCTGTTGAGCCACTAGCAAACTTCATAGAAACAGAGAAAACAGGCATAAACAGTGAAAGGGGCATGAAAAAGGCATCTCACAGCCTTGAGCATCTGTCCCCAAAGTCAGTAAAACTACATTTTTCCTTCGACTGTTTCATTCCTATGAGAAAGGTTCAAATCTTTGGGGAGTTTCTTAGCAGCTAAGTTTAGGATCCAGCATCCATTATCCATTATCATGACTTGATATTTTATTTAGAAATGCCTTTTTCTTACTACTCAGTGTGTAGCTCTGCTCAGGGTTGCTTCAATAACTTTTTATTCTCCCTTCTGCTCCAGAGAAATCTTCATTAACTGATATATCTCAGCTTTATTGATGACCTTCTCTGGTTGATCTTTTGATGGATTCAGGCAAAGGAGGATGCTTCATCTTAGCTCCCAGGATTCAGGTAGAGTCTCAACATCACCATGTGTCTAATGATCTAATGGAAACTTCCAGGTCTGTCTTGTTTATCCCTTTTTTCTGTCGCAAGTCAGCTCACCTCCTAACATTTGCAGAAGATGGTTTAAACATAGCATAACCTGTTAACATCACCAAAGAATTCCTTACATCATGTTTCAGGTCTAGCTATGCCTCCCCAGTACTGTCTCTGGTACTTCAGCTCACACTATATGCCAACCTTCCTTTCATAACTTGGCTCTTTCCTTCTTTATATTAGCAATTTCAATTGATATATATTTATGGAGTACCCTGTACTGTTAAAAAATAAAATTTTGTAAAATTTAATCAGAGTAGGCATATTTATCTCAAATACTTGTCACTTCTTGGGGAATTATCCAGAATTCCTTCTTTTTAGATTGTTTGAAGCACATAATATATTAGAACTCTTTCTCATATGTAATAGTAACTATGCACCTGATGTCTTTCCTTTGGACTACTTGATTCTCAATTTTTCCTTTTAACCAAAAACCTTTATTATATATTATCTCTTTACTTTTCCTTTGTAATGCTGTTAACTACCACAAGTCCTAGAAGTCTGTCCTTGAGGACAGAAACTGTGACTCAGTCTCTTTGGTTTTCTTCCTGGTCTAGACTCTAACACAGTGCTGGGGTCATTAGAAGACTTTTAATACATATTTTATTATTCAGTTAGCTTAATCTTGTATGTAAAGTTCTCAGCTCTTTCTAAATTTCTTTTTCTTCCTTCCTTTCACATAATTATTGAAAAAAGTTGGCATATTATACAATTATATTTCAGGGGATCTAAAATTGTATTAGAAATTCAAAACAGAAAAAAAACACACAAAGAGAATAAAGACATTGCTATTTTCATATAAGTGTTTTTACAGGGCATGCTTGCACTAAACCATTGGCGACCATTTTAACATTAATAAAGCCTTTGCTGATTCCAGAAAAGGATTCTTCTTTCTCTGAATGCCCACATGGCACAGTCTAAGAGACTGTGTCACCTTGTATGTTGTACTTAGTTATTTATAGGCATACAGTCTTTTATTTCCTCCAAATTAAAGAAAACCTGTTTGAAACAATTATGCCAGTTTCTGGCAGTAGAAAAAAACTGTCTACTAGTGAGGGAACAACAACCTTCAAGTAACATATGCACGATACCAATATAATGGTAGATGTTAAAGAAGCTGGCAAAGCCAGATGAAGTCTGACCTAGATCCATCTCAAGTTCCAGAGAAGAGTGATTGGATTCCAGCTTAAATAATATTGCTGGGAAGGAGACTGGGCAGACACAGGACTTGAACAAATGGGAAAGTAAGGCATATCTGGGGAAAGGCAAGTGACCTATTATGACTGCAGGGAATGCTAAGAGTAAAAATGGTAGAGGAGACAACTCAGGCGTGCAGAGTTGCTAAGTAGTTTGGAGTTTTGAAAGCAGAAGGATTTAGGGGAATGGCAAGAATGAAGCCTGTGTTAAACTGGTGGACGAGTGGAGGTAGGAATAAGAAACACAATTGCCATTTTCAGTCTCCTCATGGGGAATTCTTTGGTTTATCTTCGTGTTTTCTGATTGTGCCAGGCACCTGTTTTCTAGATAAAATGTTCGATTTACTTGTACAATGGAAGAAAGCCAGACATTGAAGTGTAGGCTAGAACACAAATAGACATAGGCTAATGGACTTTGGAGGCCATACTTTACCTGTGTTGCTCAGGTCACATAAGTAGAGGGCGTTTTCCAGCTTTCGGAACCTGTCTATCCACAGCTCAGGTCGTTCAGCCTCCTTCATCATGGTTGGACTCAAATCAGGCTGAGACACTGGCCTATTCTTAAAGGAGTTCACTGGTTCTTGTGGGGCTGAAATCACACTGGTAGGGTTTTCTGGCCATAGATTCTCTTCTGGAGTTTTCTACCAAAACAACAAAAGCATCTCACTGGCACACATTCACTACCCGGAGCTCCAAACTCTTGGTCAAAGACAAGGCCACACAAGTAGAAAGATTTATTGCAAGGTCTGCCTTTGGAAAGCAAGGAAGAGTCTCATGTATTCGCCAGCACAAGGCTCTCTCTGCCAAGTTTTTGCTGAATGCAAACATGGTGAGTTTTTCTCTCTTTGAGGAAAGTGACATCATCACTTTTGTCCAGTTTTCTGCTTTGAAACAGGCAAAGGACTTGGGACCTGATTGACAGATCTGATGTCCTTTTCTAAGGGTGCTAGAGGAATTTACATGGACTGGGATTCTAGAAAAAGCCACGACTTCCGCAGTGGTTTGTGGTGAACGAGTGACTGGCACAATAATAGTGTCACCTTAGACCTGCGGGCCAAGTTTCAAGAGTAGCTAAGTTTCTCTCTGACTATAATTTAACAAAGGAGATGGAATCTCAGAAAGGACAAGAGATTTTTAAAATTGCGCAGGCCTCATACCACACCCAAAACTATAAGCAGGGCATAGAAGCGATGCCTAGATCACTTCAATATCCTAATCTCATGCCTATGACAGAGCAAAGAAGTGTGATGAAATAGACAAATGAGACCCTGTGGTGCCAAGTAAGACAGACATCCTGGCAGCTTCTGTGAATGTCTATGGCCTGATCAGCACTACTCTGGGCTTTCAGGAAACTCACCTCCTGCCTTTCTAGTCCATGTGGTTATAGGAAGAAACACCATACATATTGCATGGTTTGAGGCTGGGCATCCAATGCAAAACAATTAGTGCACCTATTGTCCAGCAGAGAGGGGGCAGGAAACATGAAGCTCACAGTAAAAATAAAAAAGTTTGCTTATATTTTACTCCTTGGTTTAGTTCATGTTACACTTCTGTCCATATTTAACACAGTAAAATTTTCTGATTTTTTTCAGTTAATTAAGCTATAGAGTTTGTTCTGTTCATCACAATCTAAAATATTCACAACTCAGCATAAAACAATACCTCTGATTTGTACCATCTGGGTTGTTCCCTTAACCTTCAAATATCTGAAGCTTTGCAGTTCTTTCCGATGTCAAACTTATCAAGTGTAAGTGGTGTATGCACCCCACACTCCGGAGAGGAATGGCTGTAACAAGTTCGCCTCCGAGTTGGGTAACAGACATGGGTGAGGTCGCTCCTGGGGAATGTGAAGAATTTTTTTGTTTGAAATACTAGAACACTGTGTGAAATTGCGCTGACACAGTTGACAGGAAACTGGTAAATTTTCAGGATGAGTATAAAATAATTCTGTTTTGATAAAATTAACTTTGGGACAAAGAAAACTTTCACATAGAGAAACAAAATAGTGATTCTTATGCATTTTTAAAGATTTGGGCAACTTTAGAAATGGCAAAACTTTTAGAGATCTGTTCATTTACTATACTTGCATACATGGATTTATTTTACCAAAAAAGTCAAGTTTTATTTATTCACTTTTAATGTCTTTGGGTACTTCCCCACTCTCTGATAATTAAAGACAAGGAGAAGTAGAGACTGTGTGAACCCAAACCAGGCCCAGTGAAGGAGCAAGTAACTAACATAGCCTATATGACTTTTCTATGCCAGGAGAAGTCCAAATTCTTGCTTGGCCAGTGGACATTAATGTTCTTTTTGCTTATTTCTCGGCTTATCATTTTCAGTCTTACATGGGCATCTTTTTCCCCAGGCACACAAAGCCTGACAACTGAAGATGCCTTTTGTCTTTATCTTTTAATAATGCCATTCCCTTGGTTACAGAAGCCCTTTTTGTTGCTCGCATCTGAAATAATGGGGCTCCTATGAAACTTGCAAGACCCATCTCAGATCCTATTTCTTATATTGCATTCCTTTATAGACCAGGATGGACAGAGTTTATTATTCATCACTCATTTGCCTATGCAGGCACTCACGATTTGGTATTATATTTGCCTAAGTATCTATTGCCCTAGAGGTAGTGATTGATGTATCGTCAAGGTCATATGAGATAGTTATTGAAAAACCTAAAAAATCTAGGTAGTGCCTAACAGAGGTTTTCAACACGTGCTTATCGAATGAATATGTCAATGAATGAATCAATGAATGGACATATGGGATGAATATTTTCTCTGGTATCTTAGGAAAGCTGTTTTTATCAACCCCCTGCTTCACCTCCTTTTTAAAAAGTGGGATAATGAAGACTGCTTATACAAGGATGTGAGAAGAGTCAGTTATTATGGAAAAGCAAAAAAGCCCCTTCAACAGGAGGCAAAATAAAAGAGCAAAATGTATTTTTTGATAATCTTATTCACAACAGATTTAACACTCAAGGAGAAAAGCATTTGTGGTTGTTTTTTGCATGGCAAGATGCTTGCCAAAATGGATACTGTTTTCTAAAATATTTCCATGTGTGAAATGCATGAAGAGGCCTCACATCACTTTAAGACAAATCAAGTTCTAATCTGGACATTTCAAAATAACAACAATCGAAAAACCCATGCTGCTTTGCAATTCTTCAAAATTTCCTCTCTAACTGCTGAGAATATTAAGATGGATTTTCAACCATTTGCTAGACAATTATTTTTTGTTATTTTTTTTGTTTTTCTTTTTTCTTTTCAAATTAGAGAAATTCTTAAATTTTAAGAAGTGATCCCTTAGGGAAAGGTCACTCTCAGGTTCTGGAAGCTGGCGCTAAGCTATTAAAATGCTCTTCTGACCACCCTTTAGACTGATGGCAATTGGTGGCCATAAGCTTTGGAAGCTCACTTGTACACATGCGACAGAAACAATTGCTTGGGGCACATGGCAAGCCCATCAATGATCAAGGGCAAGAGTTGTCCACATACTAACCAGGGTGGGAACTAAACCATATCATATTTTAGGAGTTAATCTGCCTCTCCTTTCCATGTGAGGCAGGTCCTAAAGGAGTCTGACAGCAAGGTGTAGGGTAGGAATAAAGAATCCATAGGGGAGGGTGGGCTTCCAGCCCAGCAAGAGGTGGGAGGATGCAGTCAGGGTTCTCAAGGCCCTCCCAAGAGCTCCACATGCCCAGATGCATACCACATGTTCAGTTTTGCTTTGGGGCCTCTCAGGGACTTCGACCAAGTCCCTTGGGGTTTTCTTTTCATTCTTTCCTAACAAGAAAAACAGAGAGAGAGAGGAGGGTTGAGTTCAGCATGCACATTTAACGTATACATACGCATGAGGAAATGCAGCTCTGTGGCTCTGCTGGGTGATTTGCCTTGTGCTAGGCAACTGGGAGACCCTTGGTGGATAAAAGGCAAGTTTCTACCTGTGAATTTCCACATAGTTTCTCAGACAAACTATTCAAAAACAATTGTTATACATACCACAGAAAGAAAATCTATGGGCATAGGAAAGCATTTCAGTTTATTTAGAAACAGTAGAAGCCGCGGCAAGGGATTACTCTTGGAGGAAGTGAGGCAAACTGATTACTGGAGGAATGAGCAGGAGTCATTTGGACAAAGGCACTGTGATGGTGCCCGTGAAGCAAAGGTGTGGACCAGCTGAGTACAACCTGTGGAAGGCCCTGAACCAGAAAGGCCTGTTCAGCTTAATAAGACTGACAGTCTCTTCCTGTGACTCTGTCCTATAGAACGTAGACTCTGCACTCCCTTTCCCATCAACTGCGTGTATACATCCCATTCCCAGGCTGTCGGTTGCTGCCTTCATGGATAAGGCCAGTTTGCTTTAGTTACTGAACAACCAACCTTCTGCTCAATCTTCCACAGCCTAGGGAGGATTTTACAAACTCTAAATCCCTGTGGCTAGCACAGAGTGCTGAGTGAAATTTAATAAGTCGCTAACAAATATAAATTAGTTCTTAGTTGGGTCTCACTATTTTTTAATAAAAATGAGCCAAAATAAGCAAAGCTGGAAGGGGACAATATAACATAGTGGGCAAGAATGTCAGTTCTGAGGTGGAAGTCTTGGATTTAAATCCTAGATAGTTTCCTTATGAGATCTATCACCTTGAACAACTTCTCTGTGTGTCTGTGACAGAGAGGGGAGGACACCTTGAGTAACTGCTAGTATTAAATGGGATTAGCTAGAACATAGCAAGTATTCAATAAATGTTAAAAAAAATGAAGAATGTTTCCTAAATTTCCACAACAGGCTTAAATCACCTTCGTAATACTCTATTAGCATTGCATTCCTGGATCAATATGAATTATGTTTTTCAATTACTTTTTGTATGTTGGTGTTCACATATGCATAGTAAATGTGGGCATACATGTTTTGGTGTGTACATATGTATTGATGCACTATGAACACGAGTACATGTGTGTCTAGTCGTCAGAGGTATCTTCCAGAGACACTCTCCGTCTTACACCATCTTATATTTTTGAGGCAGGGTCTCTCCTAGAATCTAGAACTTACCATTTAGCTAGACTGATTGCCGCAGTCCTTCTTGTCTCTGCATCCCCAGCCCTGTGGTTATAGCCGCGCCATGCTTTGCTGGACCTGGCTCTTTTTTTTCATAGGTGTTAGGAACCAAACTCAGGTGCTTCAGTTTGTACAACAAACACTTTACAAACTAAGTAATTTCCCCAGTTCTTCAGTTTGTTGATAAAGAAGAAAATGCAATTTCATATTCACTTGAAGCCTTAGGACCTAGCATGAGAATGATCCTCTGAGCTTGCTTATATATGAATGACTATGCACTTTTACAGGAAGTTCGGAAAATAAAGCCACTAAATGTGTAGTTCCTTTCTCCAATCCTCTGAAAACATGGACGTGTCTCTGTATTTCTTTATCTCTCATAACCTACCCAGATACCATAGAATAAACTTCAAATGATACTGTGGTAATTTGAATGTAATTGGCCCCTCTAAGCTCGTCGGGAGTGGCACTATTAGGAGATGTGGCTTTACTGGAGTAGGTATGGTCGTGTTGAGGAAGTATGTCACTGTGGGGTCTTATATATGTTCAGGCCACACCTAGGGTCTCAGTTCACTTCCTGTTGCCTGTGGATCAAGATGTAGAATTAAAAATTTTAAAAAAAGATGTAGAATTCTTAACTTCTTCTCCAGCACCATGTCTGCCTGCATGCCACCATGTCCCACAATGATGATAATGGACTGAACCTCTGAAATGTAAGCCACCCAATCAAATGTTTTCCTATATAAAAGTTGCTGTGGTCATGGTGTCTCTTCATAGCAATAGAAACCCTAAGAAGACAGATGCTCACTGAAGGTCGTGATAGCAGTCCCTTTGAAGCAAATCTGAATTAATCTGTAGAGAATTTAAGTTATCACGAGAAGCCATGAACATCTACTTGCACTGAGATTTGCTCACTCACTGCATCGCATTTGTGAAAGAAAAGAATTTGCTCTTTATCGCAAGAAGAAATGCCCAGTTTACTCTGAAGCAGAGATGGACAGCTAAAGGGCCTCTAGCAGCCATGTATGGCACAAAGGCAGAAGTGTTGACTAACAGTCAGACAAACCTAACCATTAACCCTGTATTTTTCTTCTACCAACTGTAAACTTTTTGGACCAGTTCTTTCGCCTGTGAAATTCCATGAACGTGCAGTAATACCATGAGGTTAAAATCATGTATGTAAAATATTCAACAATGGAGGATGTTTAACATTAGGCAAATCTCATTTCCCCACAGGAAATGATTTACCATCCAGCATGCCAAGCATTTTCCTGAGCATCAGTTAATGCATGGCACTTTTTAGAATAAGACCTAGAACCTGGACTTACCTCTTTCTAGCTATTCCTTGCTGTCTGAGCCTTTCAGGGTTCCCTTAGGAGAATATATGAAAAGTCTGCTTAGTTTCTTTTAATTTCCCCCTTTCCCTTGTCATATCTGATGGTGTATACAAAGGTAATCACTTACATATGTAAACTTTGTTTAAAAGACCTGTGCTGGAGATCTCTTTTTCTTCCTCCTAACACAGCAGGAAGGGCAAATGAGAAACATCTGTCTAGTCAGCCAGTGAAAGATTTGCACTGGGGAAATAAACCCCACTGGCTTCTAGAAGTTTCCAAGCATGGGAAGGACCAGAATTGATAAGGCTGCCAGGAGAGTGTTATATTCATACAGCCTTCCTTTCTGTTCGCACATACTGACTGTTGGAATCAGAACTCTTTGGTGCTGTTGTATATTAGCCCAACCCAGGGAACTTTAAAAATAACCAGTGTGCAAATGACTCACAAGACCAATTAAATTCTGATTTCAGGCAAGGGGAATACTTTTTAAACGTGTTCTCTAGGTGATTCGAAAATGGGACGAAGCTGAGGGCATTTGATCCAAGTAAAAGCTTCTGGATTGATGAGTTCTAATAAACGAAGCTTATGTGATCAGCAAACTAACATATATCAAAAGTGTGCCAATGGTAGGCATTTCCCACATAATCTAGAATAATTCTGTGAGGTGGAAATTATCTCTATTCCACAAATGACGTAACTAAGAAGATGAAAATTCCGGTTGTCTGCTAATATCAGAGGTGGCTGTAAGCCTGCTTCCAACTCGTTCATTCATGGAAGACACACTGGTCAAGTGTTTACCAGAAGTCGGCACTGTCTTGGAAAGGACACACGACAGTGAACAAGACAAGCTTTCTTCTCCTACAGTGTACATTCTAGTTGTGAAGTTAGGAATCACACACACAACAATGTTAGGTCCTGATATGTGCCATAACAACTAGACACAGATTCACAGGTAAGAACATGTGGCACCAAGGAATTTGCCTAAGGCCTCCTAAAAATTAATCACAATTAAATAGAATGCTCAGTAGACAAAAACAAGAGAACAAACCATGCAAATGCCTGAGGGAAAAGCACTTGGAAAATTACATAGACGGCAAAGGCTTTGGCAGCAGTGCTTACTGTATTCAACAATAGCTGCAAGGTGTAGCCCAAGGAAAAACAAAACAAAAAATGTGCTAAGAGTTACAAGATCTCCTGACTGAGCCTCAGCACTGATGCTAACTTCTGGCTGTTTAGCTTACAGCCTTCTCTCATTCTCTGGGGATTCTCCTCTTCTTTTACCCACTTTGGAGATAGAAACTACATTTTGCAATGTAGGACCACTGAACTCAATCCAGTGCCCTCTGGTTTGGTAGGACTGATAGGCAGTTGCAACTCTGAGCTTGTTCCAGTTAATCTAAGCCTCTAACACTATCTTAACTACTGTCTTTCTTGGTTCCAAGCTGCACATCAAACTTCATCACAGATTCAGTGATCTAGAAATGGAAAATTCTCATTACATTAATTTTCAGTAACCATGAGTCCATAACACAGAGGAACAACTGCCATCCTTCCCTGTCCATCTGGTTGCTCTACAGTGACTGATATTGTCCGTTCTGTTTATCAGGTTCCAGTCATTCTACACACCTCCTAGAATCCATCTCCTTTGCACATGAACTTTCTTATTCTCCCTCTTTCTCTTCGTTTTTAAAGATAATGGAATAAGTCAGAGTGGAGTAAAGTAAATAGTATAATAGAAAGTTATTACTTATCTATAAAACCAGTACTTCATCTGTGACATGTGCTACCGGATGGACTGTGTCTCTGTAGCCCTTGTGTACTGTTACTGTAATGCCGGGTAGCTTGGGTGTGGCTGCATTTTGAGATAGGGCCTACAAAAGTGATTATGAAACTGAGGATGTTTGGGTACGTACCAACACAATCTGACTGATGACCTTAAAAGTTAAGGAAATCTGGTTAGAGAGGTGCCAGGATGCATGTAGGCAGAGGAAAAGTCCTGTGGAAGATGGTGCAAGCATCTCCCTGGTGCTGAGGAAGGGCTGAGCTATTACACTCTTTCTCATTCTCAGCAGGAGTTATATGCAAACTCACAGGCACAGGAAAGCATTTAGAGGTCTTAGCATTATAACATGGGATTCTGTTTGCAACACAAGTACGCCAACATTCCAAACTGGGTACTTAAGACCCAGCGTCCCAGGATGTCCTGGGGAATGCTTTCCTCTAACTATCTGAGTTTTATTAGAGATACCTGACCAGGTGAATAAGAATACTGCCTTCTAGATTTTTGATGTAGTATGCCAACCTGTAGTATGCTTTCTCCAGCCCCAAGGGTTGGAAATGTTTCTTAGTCACTAAGGACTGGACTGCATCAAAGCGAAGTATTGAGTTATGTCTCTGTCCCCCAAGTTACATGTTCAATTCCTACCCACTGGCACTTGTGAGTCTGTCTTATCTGAAAACAATCTTTATAGATATAATCAACTTGAGAACAGCTGAGACCTTTTTAAGAGGAAGGAGAAGGTCTTTGGACACAGAGATACAGAGGGAGCAGAAGGCGGTCAAGGGAACATGTGGGCAGACAAGGGGATCGTATGTAACAGACGAATGGAGAATTCAACCTCCTACTCAAAGTACTAAGAAGCAACCAGAGGCCATTTCCGAGAGACTTCGGAGGGATTATGGCCCTCAGTGATACTTAGATTTAATATTTGCAGGCATCAGAACTGTGATTGAAACCTTTCCTACTTTTTAAAGTTCCAGGATCATAAAAATTTGTTATAGAGGCTGGGATCATAAATACATTCTTCCTACTTTCTTTTCAACTTTTTCAGTCTCTGATTCTTATATAACTAATGCCCTATACCTCTTTCCATGTTCCCCCTGCCCACTTAGATATAGACTGACATATTCATCCCCTAGCACACCCCACCCTACACACTTGGTACCTTGCACTGTGATGCACAGTCGTTAGTGGGTGTTTAAGTACAGAAATCATAGCAACAGATTAATACAAATGCATATGTTTTTCACCTGTCATATTTAAACTTGCTAATTGCTAAATATTTTGCCATATTCATCTTTAAAATCTCACTTAATAATATGTCATGGAAATCATTATGTGGCAGCCCAGTTGTGTTGTTTTAAAACTCAACAATTTAATCAGCCAGTTGTAGTATAATTTAATTAAATGAAGGATCTTTTCCTTACTTCTAATTTTAAGACATTTATAAAGGTTGCTGCGCTAAGCATATATCTAGGCATATATATATATATATGTTATCAAATATACATATATTTGATAACTATATTTGTATATGATATTTGGTGATTTATTACTCAAATAGATGCTAACCTGAAGGACTTCTAGATTCAAGAGACTGCATCTGAAATTTAAGCTAATAATACCAATTTCATGTGTATGTGTGCTATATTCATATCAAAAGGTTACCACAGAAATTAAAATATGGAGCTCGAAGACTCACACTTTTCCTTATCCAAAAACCTAAAAAATTGGTTCTTAAGAAAATTTTCAGTCCTGTCTTTTCTTCACTGAGTATTTTTGGGAAGAATGAAATAAAACCCAGCTAGGTTTGCTGACGAATAAGAAAGAACAGTACTCACCTGCAGGCGAATCGCACAACAGATCAGAAGAGGCCCTGTTCAGCCACTTAACAAAATTCTGCCACCTGCGTAAGAAGAGGAGACAGGATTGAGTAGCGATGCTTCCTCTCCCTCGGGGGCATGTGCAGCCAAGCTGAGTTTTACTGGTTGGCAGCAACATTGAAAGGGATTTTGATTCAGTGCAGGAAACAAATAACTTGAGGTATGTATATTTACCAGGAAGAGTGTTGGTACAGGGAACCAGATGTCCTCAGACTTACAGAAAGAGAGAGATGAGTGTGGGACTTAGGCCATCAATCCCAGAATATCAGGGGTAGAGGACATGGCTAAAGCAGGAGGATTAGGGAGTTGAGGCCAGCCTAAACTGTACAGTAGTACCCTGTCTAAAAACCAAACAAACACATAATATTGGACCATAGGTTAAAAATTCAGCACCCCGAAACAAATGAATGAATTACAGCAAAGCCAGCAGACTGGAGATTGGAGTCTGCTTTCAAACTCAGGGCATCCAGATACCAGGAACTATGAGAAAATCTGACGAATGTCACAGTCACCTCTAGCCATAAAATCAATTACTGTTCTAATGGCAGTAAAAACATGACTAGCTATTATTTTTGCACTGTTACGTAGGAAAATGAATAAGTCCATGACCTTTCAGTGTTAGCATTATTCTGCCCTCTTTTCCACCTCACAATCTTATACCTTTACCTATCAGGGATATAAATTAAATCAGGCATGGAATCTTCATTTCGGATGGTTATCAGGAATGTCCCTTTTTGTTGCCATGAGTGTCAAAAGGATTGCAACACACAACAAACATAGAAATAGGATAATTACATTACTTGTGCTGGACTTAACATTTAATGACTTCCCATAAAAAAAATGTACTGGAAGAAATGTATGTCACAACTGAAAAATCAGTTAATTAAAGCATAAAATAATACAGCGAAATTTTGGTAGCGTAAATCGTTTATACTTGCTTGCCTAGAACTCATTTATATATTACATAAACATGCTCCTCTGGCAGTAATAGGTGCCTGGCTTCATTTTGGATATAGTGTGATTAGGACTATAGTCAAATATCCATATTCTGCTCAGTTACGACGGTGTTCCACCTGTTTATGAATTACTTTATTCCTTCTCCTCTCTTCTGTCCCACCTCTGTCTCTGCTTTTATCTCTGTCATTCAATTGTTTCTGGTCCTCTGTGATTTTTATTTCCTCCTAATATTGTGAGTTGATTCATATTATTAACCCAGAGACTCACACCTGGTCAAGGTACATAGACCGCCAGACATACAGCCCTAAATGGCACACCTGAGTCACACCCTCCTCCCACATATCAGTGGTCACTGTGGAAGAGGGGTTAGAAAAATGGCAAGAGCCAGAGGCAGTGGCTGACTAAATGGAAACTGTTTTTGTAGGTCCAATGGAGAAGTTGCAGGTACAAATCCACAGCCACTGTGACAGCATGCACACGGCTGGCCCAAGTCCAACCCAGACCACATCCTAGCATGGAGAGGGGCAGAGGCATGAAGTCCCACCCTCTAATGAGGTAGCTTCTGGCAGTTGATGGTTTCTGGAGAGAGAGAGCTAATGAAGGTTACACATTCAGGAGTATACAGGCAGCATAAATTAGAATCCATACAATGTAAGACAGGACACAGTTGGGTGGATGGAATGGGGAAATAAATCTAGGATAACTGAGACATGAAATGAATATGATCAGAATGTATTATATGAAGTTCTCAAAGAACTAGTAAATGAGGACAAATGAAAAAATTGACATTTGCTCATGTTGGGGAGAGACAGTGTCTGCTGCTAACAAACAGATTAAATGGAGAGAAGATTAGTTTCTAGTTTACCCATCAGAAGACCAACTGAGATGGAGAGGAAGTTGACAAAAATGTGTCTTAGGTTTTCTCAAGGAGTTCTAATATCATATAATTTTATTCTCTTTAAATAGAAGTGATATGTTAACAATGAAACCAGCTTGTTTCACTTATATCCCATAAACCTTTTCCTATTCATGGATCGTGTATCAGAAGCAGTCTTTGATCAGCATGTGGATTCTGATAGGAGATTTGAACATGTGGCCTCCAGAGCTCCATGTGAGAAAGAGATAAATCCTGATGTAATAATGCAACCAGAAAACCAGGTGAATGTAAAAGATGCAGTAGGCCTAGGATGGCAAAGCGAAGCTGGAGGAGAGAAAGCTCTCATAGGGTAATTATGATATAAGCATCAGGTATTAGCTCAGCCCTGGAAACAGACTGCAGCTTTCTTCACTGCTTCATTTTAGACACTATTTGGAAGAGCAGGCATATTCTTAGGCCACCTTCCAAACTTTTACAATAAAACACAACCAACAGCCTAGATCTACTGATAGTCACAGATTGCATATTCCATTTATTTTTCAGAGCTGTCAGGAAATGTCAGGCCATGTTGTCAGATATCAAGTAAGAGAGAATGGCCAGAGTGAGGGCTCAGGGAATAAAGGACTTTGCTATAGAAGCCCAATAACCTGCACTTGATCCCAAGAACCCACCATGGAAGGAGACAATTGATTCTCAAAATTTTCCTCTGAATTCTACAGGCATGTGCGCGATCTCACACACACACACACACACACACACACACACACACACACACACACACTGGTGAGTAATGAGTACATAAACAGAAAAAAAAAACTATAGGAGACAAGGCCCTAGATAAAACACTACTAGAAAGTTTTCCACTTTTTCTTGATTACATGTTGAGAATAGGGGGAAGAGAAGGTAGCAAATAGTCCTACAGCTTTGGCTTGGGCATTGTCTCACATGAAAGGCATAAGGGACTTGTGTGATCTATACATTTCTTATGATTATTCTACAAAATAGTTCTCATTTCTATATCTCATTTTTAGACCTTCAAAAAAGTATTCAACTTAAGTGTAAGAATAGGTTCCTGTTGTAATAACAATATAATTATAATAACAAAATATTTTAACAAAATATAATAACAATTATTTATTTTGTAATTATAATAACAAAAGTAAGTGCTAAGTTTTCTTATTCCAGCTAGGGAACAAAAACTGGGACCCTGATTCTAGATTCAGGAAGATTCAGCTTCACATTCAAATTCTAGACTGGGAGTGTAGTTAAGTGGGTGGAGGGCTTGCTTAGCAGGAATGAAGTCCTGAGTTCACTTTCTAGGGAGTATAGCATTGTGTACTTATGATGACACTTGGGAAGTAGAGATAGATGATCAGTAATTCAAGGTCATCCACAGATACAAAGCAAGTTCTAGACCAGCCTGTGCTACAAGAGGTCCTTTCTCAAACAGCAACAAGTTTCAATTTTTTTTTACTTAATATAGAATTCGTAGAGTGTTCTAGGTACCTTTTATTCATTATTGTAAACTACTCACTCTGAGACACAGGTTGAAGGGATGAACTATTACCCTTTTCATCTGACTCAAGATCCACGAGTGGGCAGGTCATACAACTTGGCTTCATGGCCATATTTTCCACTTTGTTATTATGGGCATTCTTTCAGTGTTTACTAACATTTACTGTTGTAGACGTCTGTGGTCAGTCTGATTTTTATCCATTGTTAATTAATTTCCCCTTTATTTTTCAGTAAAGATCGTGGACAAATTTTATTTGTCTTTATAATACAAATTTCTCATTGTAATACACAAACACAAGGGCATTTTTTTTTCTTAATTTAGCTTAGCTTGTAGCGAGTTTTCAATTTGTATGCACGGGGCTCTTTCTCACTAGCTCTGTAAACTTTCTTTAGTTTGTGCTGTCCCTTGAGTATGGTTTGTGTCGATCACCTAATATATACTAGACCTCCATTCTGCAGCATGGCAATATTGAGGCATTGAGATCCTTGCAAGGTCGAGTCTAAAGGAAAGTTATTAGGGTACCAGGACTGCTACCCTTGGAAGAGATTAATATAGTTCTCAAGGGATTCTGGTAAATTCCCTTACAATTAGTTGTTGCAAAATTATCAATACCGGTCTTCCAAATCAATGGCTTTCCGTCCTGCCACGCAATATCTTCTTTTGTGTGTATTTCTGCCACATGCCATTGGTCACATTGTGACTCAGGTATAAAGGTTCTAGCCAGAGGCCAAGCTAATGAAGCACCTGATTTTGGATTTTCAGTCTCTAATGCTTTCAAATGAATATACTTAAAATTACAACAGAGAAATTCAGAATTTTGTTATATAAGGAAAAAAATGAGCTACCATAGGAGAACTTTGGTTTTATTTTATTTCATTTCTCTATTTTGTTCCTTATTTCCAATGATGCCAAGTCAATTTAGTATTCTCATCTTATGTCTAATATGATCGATCTATCTTTTCCCCCCAATATTTCCCACACTTCCTGGGGGATAGATTCTGTAGGAGTCCCTTAAGTTTGACATAACATATTAGATTTTTCTACTGTGTTCCTTTTGTTTATTTATTTTTATTGATGTCTAGTGACTTTATTTCTCTTGAGAAGTTGAGGGTTCCATGAAATCACCCATTCTTTCCAAAGTTTTTCATAATTTTATCCAATAATCTTCAATACTTTTTAAATTTCAATTTTTATTATTGGTTTGTCTCACTCTTCTTATCTCTTTATTGTTTTATAATTCATATCAAGATGGCTTTTGCATCTTTGAGAGAACTACAGATTTTGTAGGTTTTAGAGCAGAAATATTTTCTTTTTTTTAAGAGCAGAAATATTTTCAAAGGCTATTGAAGTTTAGAGAATGTAAGATTAAGCTTCCTTTCCCATGTTCTTTCATGCTTATTTTATTTTATTTTAGGGATTTTTTTAAAATTTTCTTTTTAAAATTTTCTTTTATGTTAGCAGTACTCCTTTAAAGTAGGCTTTATATGTTGATTTTTTTTTTCTGTATTCACCATTAAATGAGAGTTTGTCCTGGTTTCCTGGTTCTGCTCACTGTTCCCATAGGCCTGAAGACAAGGGACAGGTGACAATTCCTGTGTATGCTTGGCATCTCAGATTCTCCTTTCTTAGATATTCTCACCATACTTGTTGGATACAAGATATGGGTATCATAT